TTTTATTTTATTTTTAATATTTATCTTTTTTTTTTTTACAAACTTATTTTCTCTCTATGCCAGGAGTTAGAGAGATACAATGTATCTCTCTTCTCCATTCATAGAGAGAGAGAAAAAAACAAGGGGGCCGGGCTGCACAGTGACTGATCACTGATAGCCAATCAGAATCTATCACAGCGATCATGTGGCCCGGAATCAGGAGTCCCAGGTCCCGATCATTAGAACGGGACCCGGGGCTTTCAGTGACACTGCGGTCTTTGTGCTGGGAGTGCACAATGCGGCACACTCCCAGCACAAAGACAGGTACACAAATATGCGGCCCCACGGAAAAAAATCCCAGTTCTGTGAGGCCGCATATTTGTGTGACATCGGCATCAAGGGGTTAAAAATCTCCATGGGTGACGCTTTAAAAATTTCTACAGGTTACCAGTTTTACAGAGGAGTTCTAGTGCTAGCATTATTGCACTTGCTCTGATGGTCGTGGCGATACCTCACATGTGTGGTTTGAACACCATTTACGTATGTGGGCGTGGCCTACATAGGTGTTCACCACTATGCACAAGCACGAGGGAGGGGACGGGGGCACTTTAAACATTTTTTATTTATTTATTTTATTACATTTTTTTTACACTGTCCCTTTTTTTATCACTTTTTTATTCCTATCACAAGGAATGCAAATCTCTTGTGATAGAAATAAGTAGTGACAGGTCCTCTTTATGTAGAGATATGGGGTCAATAAGACCCCACATCTCTCCTCTACAATGTGACGCATTGGATCAAAAAAAGCATTGATCTAGTGCTTTAAAAAAAAAATGGCCTTGTTTACAAGGCACCAGTCCTCCAAGGGCATAGAGATGAGTGGAGGTCGACTTTCCTTCACTGATCTCTATGCCCAGCATCGGGATTGTTTGATGAGTTCTCAGGTAATGCTGAGAACCATCAGGCAGTGGTGGGGGGCAGGGCTTATTTCTGCACCTGTATCTGTGCTTATTTTCGAATCGGCCAAATGCCGATAGGGGTGTTTGCGTCCGAAACATTTCAACCAACGAAAATTCCGTGCATACCTGGTATCAATTCCTTCATCCTCCAGGAACTGCTTGCATACTCTCGCCACATGAGGATGGGCATTGTCATGCACCAGAAGGGACCTAGGACCCACTGCACTAGTGTAGAATCTGACAATGGGTCCAAGGATTTCATTCTGATACCTAATGGCAGTCAGGGTGTCATTGTATAGCCTGTAGAAGTCTGTGCATCCCTACATGGATATGCCTCCCCAGAACCTCACTGACCCACCACCAAAACAGTCATGCTGAACAATGTTACAGACAGCATAATGTTCTCCACAGCTTCTCCAGACCCTTTCCTGTCTGTCACATGTCCTCAAGGTGAACCTCCTCTCATCTGTGAAAAGCACAGGGCGCCAGTGACGGACCTTCCAATTCTGGTGTTCAATGGCAAATGCCAATCTAGCTCTATGGTGCTGGGCAGTGAGCACAGGGCCCACTAGAAGACATTGGGCCCTCAGGCCACCCTCATGAAGCCTGTTTCTGATTGGTCAGAGCAGGGGAGGACTGACAACTCATGGGGTCCCCAGGCAATAGGGGATCATGGGGCCCCTGTGTCCTTGCCCACACTAAAAAAAGCCTATAAAAAAAGGGTACCAGGGGCATTTTTCATGGGGCCCCCTACTGACCTCGTGCCCTCGGGCAGTGCCTGAGTGCTCGAATGGTCAGTCCGCCCCTGGGTCAGAGACATTCACACCAGTGGCCTGCTGGAAGTCATTTTGTAGGGCTCTGGCAGTGCTCATCCTGTTCCTCCTTTCACAGCAGAGGAGCAGATACCGGTCCTGCTGATGGGTTAAAGACCTTTTACGGACCTGTCCAGTTCCTAGAGTAACTGCCTGTCTCCTAGAATCTCCTCCATGCTCTTGAGACGGCGCTGGGATACACAGTAAACCTTCTGGCAATGACACGTATTGATGTGCCATCCTGGAGGAGTTGGACTGCCTGTGCAACCTCTGTAGGGTCCAGGTATTGCCTCATGCTACCAGTAGTGACACTGACCCTAGCCAAATGCAAAATTAGTGAAAAACAGTCAGAAAAGATGAGTATAGAAAAATGTCAGTGGCCTCCACCTGTAAAATCATTCCTGTTTTGGTGGTCGTCTCATTGTTGCCCATCTAGTGCACTTGTTAATTTCATTAACACCAAAGCAGCTGAAACTAACAACCCCCTCTGCTACTTAACTGACCAGATCAATATCCCAGGAGTTTCATTGACTTGATTCTATACTCTGATTAGAAGTGTTCCTTTAATTTTTTTTGAGTAGTGTATTATACACTGGAAGCCTGTTTGACTTTGTGACAACACAGGAGAGCAACTGGGGGACAGAGACAAAATGTTATCATCCTATTACAGGAAGCGCCTCAATAAGGACTTTTGTGGGAAGATCACCAGGTATTTTGACTACTTTAGCTCTCCCACATACACTCACCAGACACTTTATTAGGTACACCTTTACTAGTGCCAAGAAAATATTCCCACGCCATTACACCACCAGCCTGAACCGTTGATACAAGGCAGGATGGATCCATGATTTCATGTTGTTTACGCCAAATTCTGACCCTACCATCTGATTGTTGCAGCAACCAGTCTTCCCATTCTTCTCTGACCTCTGACATCAACAAGGCATTTTCATCCACACAACTGCCGCTCACTGGATATTCTCTCTTTTACAGACCATTCTCTGTAAACCCTAGAGATGGTTGTGTGAAACTCCCAGTAGATCAGCAGTTTTTGAAATACTCAGACCAACCCATCTGGCACCAACAACCATGCCACATTCAAAGTCACTTAAATCCCCTTTCTTTCCCATTCTGATGCTCAGTTTGGACTTCAGCAAGTCGTCTTCTCCACCTCTGAATGACTAAATGCATTCAGTTGCTGCCATGTGTTTGGCAGATTAGCAATTTGTGTTACCAAGCAATTGAACAGGTGTACCTAGTAAAGTGGCCAGAGAGTGTATATACCCCTTATGGCCCAGAGCAATTTTTTCATTTCTGACATGGGCCTGTATATGGCATTTGGTGATAATTTTTCATTATTTAAGATAACAAAGTAACACAGACTGTACGTTGCACATTGTTTGTTTTTTTTATTTCTTTTTTTTAAGGCTACGTTCACACTAGTGTTGTGTGCAGGCAGCAGAGAGGCGTTTGGGAAGCGTTTTACCGCTTCCCAAACGCTTCTGCCAATTCTGCACATTACAGCACATGGTGCTGTTCTAATGGGAGCGTTTGGGTCGCGTCACGGCAAAACCGATGCCTCTGGTCGAGTCAGGAGGCGCTGAAGCCTCCTATTCTAGTCTATGGTGCCACTCTGCAAATGCCCGCCGGCCGGCGTTTGCGGTGCGGTTGCGACGCAGTTGCGGAGCGGTAACACCATTCAAACTGCATTATAGGCATTTGTGGGGTGTTTTTAACGCTCGGCAAACGCCTAGCAACCGCCGCTAAACCAAGCATGCGGCGTTTGCGGAGCGTTTGCCGAGCATTAAAAACGCTCCACAAACGCCAGACCAACGCTTGCCAAACGCTATAGGGGCGTTTGGCAAGTGTTGGTAAAACAGCCCAGTGTGAACGAGCCCTAAGACACACAAGCTTTCCTATAATAATATCATCTTGCAGAAATTATTTTATTTTCTGTGCAATTCATACACAAATAAACATAAAAAATTTAAAACACACTTTTTTTTACTTTGATCAGTGTTCGTTTAAAAAAAATATTGTTACACAAAATATAAATCCTATGCTATAATTTGTCCCATTTATAACACTAAAGTTACAATTCTGGTGCAAAGATTTTTAAAATGAAATAAAGCCTATTTATTTTTTTTGTATACAGCTATGGCCAAAAGTTTTGAGAATGGCACATACTAATTTTCACAAAGTCTACTGCCTCAGTTTTTATGATGGCAATTTGCACATACTCCAGAATGTTATGAAGAGTGATCAGATGAATTGCAAATCCGTCTTTGCCATGAAAAGTAACTTACGCCCCGGTGACATCGGGTGCGACTTGGCATGCAATTTGTATGCCATGCGACTTTCAAATCGTATGCCAATTCACACCCTATTGTCCGCAATTAGAGTGGTCAAATCGATCCAGTTACAACTTGGTCAGAGCGGCACCGATTTCTAAAGTAGTACATGTATGGGCTTGATGTGCCTGGGGTGTTAATCCCAAAAAAAAAAACATTTCCACTGCATTTCAGCCCTGCCACAAAAGGACCAGCTGAAGACATGTCAGTGATTCTCTCGTTAACACAGGTGTCAGTGTTGATGAGGGCAAGGTTAGAGATCACTCTGTTATGCTGATTGAGTTAGAATAACAGACTGGAAGCTTTAAGGAGGGCAGTGCTTGAAATCATTGTTCTTCCTCTGTTAACCATGGTTACCTGCAAAGAAACAAGTGCAGTCATTATTGCGATTCACAGACAAGGATATTGCTGCTACTATGATTGTACCTAAATCAGCCATTTATCAGATCATCAAGAACTTCAAGGAGAGAGGTTCAATTGCTGTGAAGAAGGCATCAGGGCACCCAAAAAAGTCCAGCAAGTGTCAGGACCATCTCCTAAAGTTGATTCAGTTGCGGGATCGGGGCACCACTAGTGCAGAGCTTGCTCAGGAATGGCGGCAGGCAGGTGTGAGTGCATCCAAAGACTTTTGGAGGATAACCTGGTTTCTCCTTTTGACTTTTTTGACCTGAGTCTGTGGGGCATATACCCACAATCCCTTCTTCCCTTTTCCCTCCTTTCCTTGCATAGGTTGCATTATAAAAAAAAAGACTGGGGCTCAATGGACTTTGTAGGCACATATAAACCAAACAAAAATGTAGTAAAATCTTTACCTAAAAGTGATACCACATAGGTACCACATATTGAAAATAGAAAAATTGCACCTCAATACATAGATCAATTGAAATCATATCTCTCCTCAATAACTGTATAGACTAAAGCAGGGCTTGAAATTTCCACTCGCCTGCTCGCCAATGGCGAGTAGAAATTATGGCAGTGGCGAGTGTGTCCCCCAGGGCCGTCTTCCTAAGCAGGCTTGGAGCTTAGGCCGGATCTGTCATTGGCACTGAGAGTCGGCAGACTGCTCAATAGCTGAGCGCAGTGAAAGCAAAGGAAGGAGTGTGTGCTGTGCTCTCTGCCTCCCCCTAGAGTGCAGTACCCGGCTCTATGAGTGGACAACGAAGTACTGCAACTTTTTATATAGGTGTGTGTGTGTGTACATGTGTGTGTGTGTCTGTGTATGCATGTACATGTGTCTGTGTGTATGTACATGTGTGTATCTGTACATGTGTCTGCGTGTATGTACATGTTTGTGTGTTTGTGTTTATGTACGTACATGTGTCTGTGTGTACATGTGTCTGTGTATGTATGTACATGTGTCTGTGTGTATGTGCGTGTGTATTTCTCTGTGTATGTACATGTATCTGTGTGTATGCGTGTCTGTATGTGCCTGTGTGTGTATACATGCTTCTATGTGTGTGTGTGCATTTACATGTCTGTCTGTGTGTACAGGTGTCTCTGTGTGTGTTTGTTGGTGGCGAGTAACTCTTAAGGCCTGTCTAGTAGCTCAGGACTTGAAATTTTAAGCCCTGGACTAAAGGGTACAAAGATAGATCACCGATGACTGAGATGACCTTTATTAGATTGCAGTGATACTAAATGGTGCTGTCCCTGGCCCCCTGATGTGCCTCCATGTCTGGACAATCATCCTGGAGTACCCCATTCCCCTCCGATGATTAACTACAATTGTGATTTTATTGTGAGTAATTAAAAGTGGAAATCTGTTCACACTCTGATGATGCAGTATATACATATGCATATATCTTTTGATTGTATATCTGTATAAAATACAAACAACAAAAAATTCTTCTATTTTAGATAGATAGCACCCTCTATTAGCTCTTGAGGAAGCGGCTTATAGTCGCAAAACATGTAGAGCCAATTCCAGCTGAAATTATTCTAGCTCTCAATTGTGACATCACATCTGTATTTAATCAATTGTATAAGGTCATCTCGGTCATCGGTGATCTATCTTGGTACCCTTTAGTCTATACAGTTATTGAGGAGTGGTATGATTTCAATTGATCTATGTATTGAGATGCAATTGTTTTCTATTTTCAATCTGTGGTACACATGTTGTATCACATATTGAGCCCCCAGTCTTTTCTTTCATAGCTTTATAGGATGTGGCAAAGTTTACGAATGGTTCATCCATAGTACCACCCTATGGATATACATATTATTTAAATCATTATAAGCACCAAGAGTGGTTTCCTGTGCAGCTAAATTGGAATGGTAGTATTTGTGTCCTTTTCTGAGACCAGTGTAATTTTCTTTGTGTGCTATGGTCTATTTTGTCTGTTTATATTGCCTTCCGTGCCTTAACTCCTCTGTGGGTGTTTGGTTTGTCATACTACTCAAGACTCAATAAAAATATTAAAACAGAAAAAAATAGCTGGGGGTGGGGGGCAATTAACTAGAGCTGATTAGAAATTATTATGGGGAAAAACAAGAACATATTTTAACTTAAAAGGTTGCTTCTATGTTATTATACAGTATTTATAAAGCGCCAATAGTTCGCTCAGCGCTGTCACAGATCATCCCTTTGATTTGCATATGAATACCAGGAAAATAAAAAGTAACAATAATGTTACATCGTATTTCTCTGTTGGTCTTCTAAACAGAGTGTGTGTGTGTGTGTGTGTGTGGGGGGGGGGGGTTGTGAGGTGGGGGGCAGGAGCTGGAACATGTATTGTATACTACAGCTTTTGAAGTATTGTGACTGCTGTCTTCACAAAATGCCCCTGTAATTGCCTTCATGAAAAGACACCTGCATAACCTAGTCTTTGCTGAGCCTGCTCAAAATTGTCTCATAAAATAAAATCTGCACTATTATTTCTCTCTGAAACTGCCTATATTTACACCGTAACACACAACACATCCACTCAACAATCCTGCAGCATTGTGCCGTATTACTAAACCCAGGACCCTGCATTCACTCTATCTGGTCTCCCACAGTACACACAACATGGAAGTGCAATTATGTTAGTAAATATAAAACTGCTAAATACCTTTTATCATCAGCAGTTAGAGCAGTCTTGTGACTTCAGCAGAACACTGGTTAAAGCTTGTAGGAGTTTTCTTTCTGCTCTAGGAGGATGCAAAACCCCTGCCTGACCCTCTGTCTTGACAGTGCTGATTGGCCCTGTGCTGATCACATGCACCCTCCCAAAAAAAAGAAAAAACTCTCTAGTAGTACACACCAAACTGAGCATGTGCAGAGTGTCCCCAAGGCTCTGTTCTATCAGGAGATTAAATGGAGAAGAAGGGGACGATCAAAGATCCTTTTACACAATGCAGAGGATTAACCCCTTAGGTTCCACAGTGAGTATAACAAGCATGCTTTACTGCATATACAGACTGATTTTACTGTTGTGGGTTTAGTAACACTTTAATGAATGAAATTGGCCAGACAACCTGTGATTAAGCATCGCCTCCCCTTCCGTTCCCACTCTGTTCCATGGCTGTATCTGTACTTTATTTGCTTTGCTCCATACTCCCTGTTTTTCCCTTCTTTTCGCTCAAAAGGATATTTTGAGGCTTTAGTAATCCTGGTATTGGTCAAGAATTGGAAGTTACTTGGCAGTATTGTTGCAAAGTCTCTGTTCATTTCTATCCAACGACAGCCCTGCAGCCCAGTCAAAGAATTTTGTGGTCTGGCCATTCACCACCTAGAGCTTAGCTGGCTAAAGCATCAAATATGAGACCTGTAGGCAAGTAGGCAAACTCCAGATGTTCCAAATATTCTTGGACTCTTGGGTTCTTGGGTTGTTTGGCTGATTTGGTTAAGATACAATTTTAGGTGGCTCAGCAGAGGTCATTTATGTGCAGATGTAGCTTTACATGGCAGCATCATAAATTCACAGTTGTCAATAATTACACTGATTATTGGGCATGTTGCTTTCATTTTATGACCTGCAATGTAAGGGAAATACAGACACATTTACAGAGTCATTGACCCACTCCCTCTCCCTTTGTTGGGTTTTTATGTTCTTTTAAGCGGTATTCCATGATTTAACTGCATCTCACCATGTCTCTTCCATTTATAGTGTATGGGTGAGGATACATTGTTTAATCAATACCCTTACTGTGCAAACACTTAAAATGTGCCATTTAACCCCTTTGTGCCGACCCTTTAAGAGTTCTAAAAGCCAGGAGGTGGAGGCGGGCATTCCGGTCATGTGACCACTTTGATTGGCTGTCACAGCCGCCACATGATCGTAAAGCTCCGGATCGCAAGTATGCATCGAGAGCTTACCGATCCCTGCCAGCTACAGGGATGCAGCTACGGGTGCGCCTTAATGCTGAGCGGCAACATGCTGTATATGTGTATGGTCAACATCAAGAGGTTAAAGCAGTAGGAAACCACATTTGAAAAAAAAACTAGTTCCCCTGCAGGGTAAGGTCATAATGTGCTAGTATGTACCACAAAAACTAGATGACAGGCTTAACTCTGAAACAGATCCTTCCAGCACGCCCTGTCACAGCTGACAAGGAATCCATCTTCACCTGGTCTTCCTTCCGAGATCACCGACCAATTGAATGGCTGAGCTGCGATGACATCACTCCCATGCATGTGGATGGGAGTCACAGCCGTGGCACAGCTCTCTCAATGGATGGCATGCCGCCCATTGAGACTGGTAACGTCACTGCCTGCCTCACATGTAAATATCTCCTAAACAAGGCATGTTTAGGAGATATTTATGGTACCTACAGGTATGCCCATGGGTGTATTTACAACAAGGCATTTGCCTTGGGCGGCATTCTTCAAGGGGAGTGGTGCTACCCCCCCCAGAAGAAGGGACTTACGTGGCAGGTGACAGAAGACTGGGACTAGGTGAGCTCCGCCATAGAATGCAAAAGAGGCTGTGGCCTTCTGGAGGGTGTAGGTGTTTTTCTCTCTTTTTAAATTTTTTTTATTGGGGGGGGGGCAGATTTTTGTGTTCCCTGGGGCAGCACAAAAACAAAATACACCACTGGGTATGCCATATTATCGGCTTACCTGTAGATACAAAGCAAAATAGTGCATTTAATCCCACTTTAACACCAAACACCAGAAATTATAGCTGCCCTGTTACCAAACTGAAATGGCATTGAGAAGTTATACATAAAATAAAGCGTGGGTGTATTTATAAATGTTTTCACGCAAGATTCGTATACCTTTCATCCAGGATTCACACATTTTCCCAATCAAATCCAATTGCAAAAACTGTGTGAATCTTGGGTAAATGTTATATGAATCCTGGGTGAAAACGTATAAATAGACCCATTGCTATCTATACATCAAGATGAATATCCATATATACCCATTCCAAGACTCTTCATTTGTAAAGTAGGCCATAATTGCTTACAGAGGTAAGTGAAAATCCTTCATTTCACAAACACTAGGCACCCTCCACTGGTCAACCAAAAAATTTCCAAAACTATCTGGAAGGAACCAGTGACTTTATGTGGAGCAGAGTATAAGAACTCTCCAACTGCAGCCCAAAGATATGAAAACACATAACAGGCTAACACATAAAATGAACAATAAAATAGTAGGTTTGTCATACACACACTGAGCTTTCTGTGTTTTCTCTTTATATTATGAATAAATGTTGGTATGTCTGTCATTGTTCATTGGTTACAGAAAGAAGATATTTACTGCTAAGGTTCTTCAAGGTCCTGGGAGTGTAAATGCCATCTTTAAACTATTTTAGGAATGTGGGATTATGGCCCTGACTGTGTTTGCATGCAGATTTTGGGAGATTATATACACTACAAATCTCAAACTAAATTCTCAAGGTTTTTCTTTTTCTTTTTTACATTTTTTTTTACATTACTTCTATTGTCATCTTATACCTGCTGAATCCCACATCAGTGCACATACCTAGACTGGATTGTCTGACATTGCTGCTTGTACAGTGCAACGTCTGCTGCAAATGAAGAAAGCACAGCTGTTAAAGTAGGGAGGCAAGAGGACTTTGTTATGTGTCTAAGCAGGGGCAGACTGACAACTCATGGGGCCCCCGGGCAATAGGGGATCATGGGGCCCCTGTATCCTTGCCCAAACTCAAAAAAGCCTATGAAAAAGGTACCAGGGGCATCTCAAGGGGCTCCCTACTGACCCCGGGCCCTCGGGCAGTGCTTGAGCTTCCAAATGGTCAGTCCGCCGCTGTGTCTAAGGCATCATGCACACCAACTCTTTTTAATCTCCCCTGAACACCTTTGCTCCAGGGGGAAAAAAACTCACCTGAATGTGTATTGTGCATGCGCATGCATGCATTTGGTGTTATTGCATTCTATGAGCCAGTATATTAACCTCTTGGCGCCGGCTGAACGCGCAAATG